TAGGATGAATTCTTGAGCATGTTGCACCACTTAACGGAGTTCCTACGAGCACACCTGAATCATAGGACAACGCCCAGTTCCTTGCTCCGGTTGCTGCAATCCTCTTCAGAAATTCTTTGTTTGTTATCACTAACAGAGCGACATAATATAAAGTGTGAAAGCAACATTTTCTGTTATCATACAAGTCATTTTTTTAATAATTTAAGCATATTCTTTAATAAAAAATATTTTAAGTTTTCAAGGTAATATAAAAAAAGTGTACAAGAGAGCGACTTTTTTCTGTTCGACTTTTAAATAATTTATTCATATTTTTTTGTAAAAAAAAGATTTCATTTTCAAAGCATTGTAAAACATGAAAGTAATCTTTCTACATTGCACATATTTTTGAAATAATTTAAAATGTATATGTAGAATGTAAATTTATTCCTTGATAAAACAAATTTTAATTTTAATTTTAAATTCCATTTTAGATAACAATCCAGAAAATTTAAAACAATTAATACAATTAATAAATAAAATTTTATTATTTGAACAATATAAAAGAATAATAATATAAATAGATAAAGGATTGTACCTAAATATTATTAGAGTATGTATAATTAAGTTTATTAAGATTTAGTTTAGATGATGCAACACTCGCTCTAAAGCAACAGATCCGTCCGAGAGATCTCCGAAGACTGATAGAAATTATAAAATTTCTACTATTTATTACATTGAAATATAATTCTTTTTAGTTCTACATTTTTGTGTACTTACTTTTACACTATCCGAAACTTAGTAAAAGTACAATATATTTGATAAAAAATAAAAGGAAAGAAATTCAGAACGCCGAAAACTTACAAGCTAATCACATGTGAGTCCCAAGTACCCTTTTTGAACTTTCGTGTATTTTTCACATCGAGAATACCGCAAAAAAATATCCTTGCAGGGCTTATCATATCTATGGACAGTTAAAGTTTTTCTTCAACCTCCGAATCTTCAAATTATATTGTAAAAAAGTTACAGCAATGTAAAAAATCGCAAGGATACGTTGTATCCATGATTCCATACTAGGGTTAAATTTAATGTAACGTTATGAAATTAAATTCAACTTGTATAACTTAAAAGTACATTAAATTTCATAATATTTTTAACAGTGTAGATAAATGCAGATTTCAGTGGAATTTTTGTTTAGCACAGAACTCAAATATACTTCACCGCTAAGATGTTGAGTCTCGGCACTGATGCATATCTGAGGTTCCGGAAACGGTGTCTCTATGCGAGTTTATCCCAAGCAACGCCCGAGCATTAAATTCTAACACGTGCCGTGAATAGGTTTACAACGTGTTCCGTTCGGTAACGGGCCAGCATTTATGGAGTTATGGCATGAGACTCTGGACCGTAAACACGTGCGTTGTAACAGTGATGCGTTAAAAACGACAGGATAAAACGGATTTTCAGAAACATTTAGCTCGCTGATTCGCGTGCAAAGCGATCGCTCGCTATCGTCTCGTGTTTGTTCAGCAAAGCATGTTCTCTAAGCGTACAGAGAGTTAGAGGAAAAAAATTAATGAACTCTATTAAATGTTGTGGTTGTACATTTGTCTTCAGGATATACAGTCCCGTTACATATACAGAGTGATCCTTAAGTACTCTAAAAGAGTTTAAGGAGTGATTCTTGATATGTTTTAAAATCAAAACGAAAACGTCATATAAGCATATATCCATAAAACTGCTTAATTTTACAAGATGTTAAAATTGAAGAAAAAAATTCCGGTTTTTCTCAAAATTTCGTGCGTGTGTGTGTAAAGCCGTATGTTATTTCTTTATTTAATCAGGAATGAACCCAAAAATAAACAGTATGCTCCTGACTTTTGAAATTAAGCCATTAATATAAGAATAATTATTCTTTTAATAAATTTTTTTGAAATACTTAAGAACCATATTGTATATTAAATAAAGTTTTATTACTAAAATTCTACACAAAAATGCAGCGCCTTTAAATTTTATCATGCATGAAATATCTCCTAATTTAATAATACTTTGTGTAAATTTTCACTGCGTTATTATTTATCACATTATGTATTTATATTTCAACCATTGCTTCTCCAGCAGATAATATAATAAGATCGCCAGCTGAATGTCGGAAAAATAGGTTGTCTGGATAAGGCTTCGAGAGAAAACGTGCGCTTCATTACGCGAATCGTTAGGCGCGCGATCTCGCAATTACGCAAGACAATGCGAGACGCATTAGGAAGCCGCTCTTGACGTGCGTCTGCGAATGCCTGAACTTTTCCGTAGATTTTTCGCAGCGGATGCGGCGGAAATCTCTATAATTACGGCCTGAACGCGCTCGCTCGCCCGTTCGCGTGGCCGTATTCCACCTATGTCGGATGCGTGAGCTAGAAATGGAAAGTGAAGGAAGGCCGCACGTGAAGTGACTTGTGCAACTGCAACTGCAATTGCAAGCGCACGCCTTCGCAATGTTTCTTTTCCGGACTACACGCTCCTCGAATCTAGAAGCCGTCCTTCTGTCGAGGGACGACCGAGGAAATCCCCCTATCAGCTTCCTTTGAGGCCATTCTCAAGAGCGCAATGAGGAGATCCAATACCATCGGTCTAATTGCACGTGCTTGGGTTTCCAGGTCGTTGATCTAGTACAAACAAAAACCGGGAGCACCGCCGGCCCCTAGATTATTCCATCAGTTAACCTCGAACACAAATTAATGCGCACGAACCGCAAACGGAAAAACTTTCCCAAGGGAAACCGCCTTCTCTTTCCACGAGATATCCGCGAACATTCGCCGCATCTCATCTTCGTAGGTTTTTCATTTGACTAGAAAAATATAAAAGTATAAAGAGAGTATAAGAATATAGTTGAAAATAAAACCTTTTGTTTGAAAATCATATTTTATGTCAAAAACAATTTTTTCACATATATTATAATTATTTGCTTTTATATAATGACCTATTTTCATTAAATTCGATTTATTTGACAATTTTTTAATTTTTTTTGAAAAGTTCTAGAAAATCGAAATAACTTTTGTTTTTGTTTTCATTGATTGACAATAGATTTTTAGATTTTAGACTCTGAACCAGTGAAAATTCTATTTTAAATAATTCAGATAATCAAATAATTTTTTTATGAAATAGCAGCTTTTACACAATTATCTGCAGTTTTGTAATATTCTTTTCTTAAGGGGATCCTAAAGCCGTCTGTATTACTGACTAAATCGTAATTTTTGTATAATAATTTTTCCCTCTTTTACAGATTAAAAAAATCCTTCTCCAGGATTAAAGTACACATTAATCCGTACTCGAATCCTGGCTGTAAGGTGGAGTTTATGCCGGGAACGGACAAAAAATTTGGAAATTGAAATCTTAAGAAAAATTTTTGGTCGTTTACAGCATAAACTTCATCTCACAGACACGTATTAAAATTATAATAGTCCTGGAAAAGAATTTTCGAATCTGTAAAAGAGAAAAAAAATAATTGTTATACAAAAATTATGATTTAGGCGGTAATACGGCTTTAGGATCTCCTTAAATTTAATTCATTTCACAATTCTCGAAAACTGCTAAAAAATCGAGCTAACATTTGCTTTCTTCGAAGACAGACTCGGGCGGTCTGAAACAGCCTGGATGGCATTCCAACGCGGGCCTTAAGGGCCAGGATTCGAGTACGTGCGCTCGCATCGGGGCGGCATTCTTAAATCAATTAGCGACAAGAAAAAGAACCCGCTGACCTTCGATCAGTCGACCGACCACTGCTTGGCTACTGTGTCTCCGCTGCAGCCGCGCGCCTGAAATCGCCTGTTCGCAATTTAGCGGCCTTCTTTACGAGCTGGTTGGAACTTTACAAACGTAGTTCCTTCTTGCCAAATATAATAGATACATTTTTTTTAACCCACCTTGAGGCCACACACACGCACGTATTACAGATGCCGACCGGTCCTAATCATTCTCGCTACGATTAACAAAAATTCAGCCTTGAATCTTCCATCGGAGAAGAAACGAGTTGCAGATTCTTTTCTCTATGTCTGTCTTAAACTCTTTTATGATAATGATCTATATTGCTGCAATAGCCATTATTATTTATTATTACAAAACATATTGCATGAACATGCAGAATTTTTTTGACTAAAATAGGATATATAAAAATGTCATTATATTTCTTAAAATATATTACATATACTTTACAAGTATTAAAATATACATATATAATTAAAATATATTAGGTAAAGTGTTCTTTATATTTTATTATTCAAAATATTATGTAATAAAAAGCATTTTTGTTCGGTAAAGAATTATTTGGATTTATTATTCACTGTTAAATTTATAATATCAAATTATATACAATTTTAGTTATTTAATCATTTTTAAGTTGCCACTCTCTTATTATATTCATTATGTCATTAATTTAACTAAACAATTTAACACACATGAATGGGAAACGCTATATTCAATTAAAATAAATTCTTCGCCTAGTAATATTTCTTGAATTCATACAGTTTCCAGTTCAAACAAACTGTTCGCCAATTATTTGTCGGTTTTAAAACGTAGTTCTAAACCGAAGCTGGAATAGTAATATGGTAATATCACAATTTAACTGATAAGCAATTTAACATTAATATTTTAATAATTAATTTAACTTAACAATTTTACTCAAATTTAGTTTATAATTTACTAATTGTAAGTGCATACGTCAATATGGACGTTGTTTACTATGGAACTAACTTATAAGCAAACTATAAGCAACCGCAGAAATAAATTTACATTTTGACATACATGGAAGTTAAAAAGAACAAAATGTTATTTAATTTGAGGGATTGAATTACCAATGTCTCTTTATCTAATAAGTCCCATGTATTAGTCTGCTAGTGCTGTACAGTTCCGTAAAGGAAAGTTCCGCGACATTTATTCTGCACATTAATAATCATGTCAAATTGGCATTGAAGAGATATACTATCTTTATTGCACAGTCCTTTACAATGACATTTAACGATCTTAACTCTTTTCAGGATGGTTTTCTGTGATATCTGGCAATAACACGACGGGCAGCGCTCGCGTCTACCGAAGAGTGGACTCTTTGGTGAAAACGGGAGTGCCTGCTTTTCTGTTGGCGACTCCTCTGAGAGCCTACACGTTGACGCATTCGAAAATGGGTAAGTATATGTGAGTAAAAGAAGCTGGAAAGTGTCGCGTGCGATTGCTCGCGAAATGTCAAACGATGCAACGTTCTTCTTGACTTAGATGTATAGGAATATCGGTGCAGCCGATAGAAAGTGCTATCTTTCTCTCTGTCTCTCTTCCTTTTCATCTTGCTTGCTTCGCGCAGAAAACAGAAACACACGTTCGGAAATAGCCAGGAGTTATCTCTTTTACGATCGTGTGAATTGCCGCTCTTTATAATTTAAACACATCCCCCTATAACAAATTAGAATCACATTCACAATAGAGTCACAATAATAAGGAAGAAAATATGATGTCACTATGAGATATCGTCATAATAAAATAACACATGTTACAAAGACATTCATCATCATGACATTGCTGTGACATCACATTTGTAACAAAGCGGACATTCGCACGTACGTCATCATGACATAACTGTGACAGTTGTGATGTAACTACGACATTTTTTGTTACGGGGGATTGACACTCTAGACAACAAGGAAGTAGAAAGTTATATAAATTCTAAACAAATGAATAAAACTTTAACGAACACTCGAGAGACGCCAAGCCGTTGAAATAGTTATGTTTTAAGTAAATTTATGCGGATAACAACTCCATTTACATACTTACTTCCATACAAATGCTAGCCATTTGCTTCTTTGCAATCTTGTTAAAACTGCAAAAAGATAAAAGAGGAAGTTCCGAATCTTTTTCTGCCAGACGACGCGACACGGCGATCAGACGTCAAGGTGACGTAAATTGGCTAATGATAGACCGATGACACACACTAATAGGATGTAAACTGTCGTGCGATAAAACTGAGACTTCGTTAAAACGGGAATATCAACAAAAACAGGAGTATAACAGTCAGCGCGGATGATGATCAGCCTATGACTCTAATGTTAGGTCGCGAGAATATCGGACATGACTGAAAAGAACTTCTGTCGCCTTTTAATACCAATTATTACCGTTAAAGATGCTTTTAGGACACGACTGTTAAGATCAATTATGCTGGGCTTTCTTTGAGATTCAACGCATTATTAACGGGATAACCGCGTGTAATTTAATCGGAGAAGACGAACCGTCGTTACATCGATTACGACGTACTTAGCGCACGCAAATAGTGTCACGGCTGTAATTTGCGCTCGTCAAGTTTTACACTCGCATACTTTCAGAGAATGGAAATCTGCGGGCTCATTATACGAAGACGACGATCAGAGCTGGCGAGATATTGCGGCTTGTAGCGGTCTTCCAGGATACGAGACGGTGTAGCTCAGTCTCCTTTAGCATTTCTGGTGGGTGCCCTGAAAAGGACCAGTACGCGCAATGCATCGATCTTCACGGACGAGAGGTGTTTGCCTCATTATCGACCAGGGGTGAATTCTATGCGATCTGTCAGGGTGGAAACGATACCGGAAGCGACGCGGTGCTCTACAAAGTTCATCATCTCGCCAAGAGACAGTTGCCTCTCAGAGTGAGCTGCGTTTATAATGTTATACACTCTGATTAATGTTAAAGAAATATTTTTTCGTATCATCAAAAATAAGTTAAATTAAGATTTTCAATTTAAGTAAACCCATCCTGCATATTAGTTTATATATTTTGTATCTTTGCTTACAATTATTGATTAAATAAATCTTCAGGTGCGACTAATAGCGGGACCGCTACCAGTGCCGTTGCCAAAGGAATATGGCGGTCTAATGCAATTGGAGACATCAACGCGTGGTCCGATAGTATTGGGCTGCGTTGTTCCTGAGAGACCGGTGCATAATCCGGAAATGCTTGAATTGGTCGTGTCCGGTAATGGAGCGCCGAGAGTACGAAGAGCTCGATTGGGTTATCCTTCGGAAGCGAGATTGTTAGCTTCCCCGAAAATGCAACGATTATTATCAGCTTGCAGGTAAAGCTATTAATCGAATTAAAAAAAAAACATTATTCTTTAGTAAAATAATTTTCATTACGCAAATCGCAAATAAAAGTTAAATAACGTTATTTGTTATTCATTGATCAAATAAAATTTTGTTTTGTATTTTTCTATGCACTTAGAAAAATACATATTGTATTTTTGTTCAAGTAATAATTATTTGTTTCAAATATTTCAAAAGTTCACATGTCCGCAAATTTATATTTCATCATAAATTCATTACAAACAAATTTATTCGAACTATATTCTAAATCTTAGTAAGTTTACTACTTCAATGAAGATTATTAAAACAAATTCGATTTGCTATTATATATAAAATCGTTTTTTTATAAAATTTTACAATATTCTTTAAAAGAAAATTAATTCTTATTTCGATTATAATAATCGTTCTTCTAAAATTTATAATAAATATTTTAAGATTACTTGAATTATGAAAAGAGGTACCGAATTAATTTGTACACCATAATAAAAAAACATACTACAGTAATTCTATAGGGAATGAATTGATGCTTCTATTTTAGTCGAACGGTCGGAGATCGTGCAACGGAACCACGAGTAGCTCCTACGAAACTGCATCCGTCGACCATCGAAAGTTTGAAAGAGATGCATTTGAAGAAGATCAAGCCGAAACCGGAGACCAAGCCAATTTTACAGAGTTTGAAGGACGGGTTGGAGCATCTAAAGCGGAACTCCATCAAGGAGCGGAATCAACAGACAAAGCAGAGCACCGGAAACGGCATTCTGGAGAGGATCTCAAAACTCACGCAGGGTAACAGAAATCGCAATCCTGCAAAGAAGTCAGCCTCCTTCACGTTTGCAGTGAGGCCAGAAATAGCCATGAGATCTCAGGAGCGTTACTCCAGTCTGGAGCCGGAAACTACCTCTCATCAGATCCGCCAGAATCAAAACGCCAAGCAGCCGGTACAGAGATCCGTGTCAACCAGCGTATTGGAGATACCATGCGTCGAGCTACAACCTAACTATTCTCGCGTGAAGGACAGTCTGACACCGCTGCCGTCACTTCCAAAATTAGTCAAGAGCAGCAACAATAAAACCGAGGAAATCTACGCTGAAATCTGCGATACAGCGACGGCGAACCAGGCGCAGAAGTGTCCAGGTAGTCACGTGATGGCAAGAATCAGAATCGTCGTACAAGGTAATGACTCATCCTTAGGAGCGCACAATGTGATTAGCAATGACAGATATATGAATTCAATGGTGACAAGCGAGCAGATTGACTCAATCATCAGTACAGAGGATGAAGTGATCTATAACACTATATTTTAAAATTAGGATGTCGTACAAAATACATGTATTATGCTTATGAACGTAAGTCAAAAAAAGATTTCATTGTAACTCGAAACAGCGATGTATCAAAATTTCTAAAATGTAGGCAAACCGGCTGTGTTCATCGCGCAAGCGATCAACTTTCTATCCGTTGTTTCGAGATGTATCATATTGTGTAAGAGAATATATTAAGAAAATCTGTATAAGTATTTTTGTAGAAAAATACAGAAATCTTCTGTACATATCTTTGCCATATTATTAATGTACTAACAATTGAGATAAGAACGCGTTTTAAAAATGTTTCTTAGAACGACGATTTGTTCAAATTAATTACAAATGTAAGTGTAACTTGCGTTAAAATAAAATTTATCTAATTTTTATTAAATTCGATTGCTGTCATATGAAAATAGAGCGATCTTACAAAGAAAAACATCGACTCTATTTGAAAAAATTTATATTTTGTAAAATTATATTTATATAAAAATTTATATTTTCTTCTTTTTTAACTTTTTAGGTTTTAACTTTTGTGTGTGTTGTCTTTTCCGAGATGTGGCATTGCTATCTTTACTTTTATCAGTATTATTTTCTATTACTTTTTTCATTACTTCAATAGCCTTTTGTGTATCCTGAGCTACATCTATGTTCAAATTAGCATCAAGATATTTTCCCGAAAATCCTTTCGGGAATACTGGCTTTAATAATAAAGATCGCAATTGATTTTGTTTTGCCTTTAATTGCCGTTTAATTGCCGCTGCTGCTTCTTCTGATTCCGTCGACGATTCACTGAAATAAAAATGATAGATAATTTACGCTACAGAAACTGAAAAAAAAAGTTTGTTTATTTCTCTTACTCATCGTCCTCCTCGTCTAAAATCATTTCCATATCCTCCGCTGCTTTTTGTAACCAATTTTTCTGATTGTTCTGCCGACGACATTTCAATTCTATCTTATCGATATCACGAGCGACATCCACTCTTTCTTTTATGGTGACTAGTATCCTATCTACCACCGGAAATATGGGCAAATCATGCGCTATAAAAATACATCCATGTTATATTTCTAATTAAGCATTGAATTATTGAAACAATATTATAATTTTAACATACTGCGTCCGAGAGTTTTGCATAATTTGGTGTAATTCTGTTTTTCAGAAGGTTCCATCATTAAAATCGTGATACCTTCCTTTTGTGCTCTCGCCGTTCTACCGCTCCTATGTATATAATTCTGTAAAATAATTGTTAAATTCATTATATAATCAATATTTTAATGCATTTAGTTAGGATTTCTTTCATTAATTCTGATTAACGCTAATCGATGGTTGACTCAATCACCATAATTGCCACATGAAAACTAAACACAGTTTGTCTCAGAAAAGAGAGAGACGTTGATACATTAAACTGCTGTTGGCACTTCTGTGAGTTGATTGTCGATTAATTTAATCAGAAACTGGTGAAAGAGGCCCTTAACATTTGTAATAGCATCTTAGACATTCACCTCAGCTGTCCTAGGAACCTGGTAATGTATCACATGCTCTATATTAGGTATATCTAAACCTCGCGCAGCTACGTCTGTGGCTATTAATAGACCATTCTCATCAGCTTGAAATCTATAAGGTTTCGTATCAATAAATATAAATATCATAGGAAATATTAAATGCACAGAATGATCTTGATGACTTCGAAATATATAAAGTGCCTTAAGACCACTAATGTGAATATACAACTGAATAATGAAAACCTCAACGGAAGGCTTATTGCTTAAATAATATTTTCAGTATAAATTTATATATATTTTGAAATATATTTATATATACTTTTTTATTGTAACATGTTACAAAGATAAATCCAAGATAGACATTTTAAAGGGTCATTCAAAATAACATATTGTGCTTCATACCTTTCGAGATTTTTTAAGCGCTGCCGTTGCTGCATATTGGCGTGCAAAGGTAAAGGCTTGCATTTAAGTATATTGAAAAGAGTGGCCAATCTTTTCACGCATCCAATACTGTTACAAAATACTAACGTTCTTCCGTTATGTCTTTTTAAGAAGTAATAAAGGTAATAATCCTTGTGATCAATTGTGCATGCTATTCGACATTCTGTTAAGTTATCGGCAGTACCTGATAATATATATAGATTGAATAATTATAATTGGCACAAACAATTTATTTTCACTAACAACAGATAATTAATATGCACATATATATACCTGATTCTTTTGTCAGATCAACGACTTTAGGATTTTTTATTTTTAATAACTGTATAATTTTTTGCAATTTTTGATCGGGGGTGAGTTTACATATTTTACTCCTCGCATAACGCTTCTTTTTTCTATCAAGGTAATCCGGAAGATCGTGTACCATAGTCAATGTAGCCGAAAAAACAAATGTCTGTCGTTTCTGCATTTTCGCTGGATCTGCATTCATTTTTTCCAATAGATCGTGTAATTCTTGAAAATGACCCTTTTCCATCATTCTATCTGTCTCATCAATAGCTAAATATCTAAATTGACATAATTTCTATAATATATCTTGGAATAAATAATGGAATCATTTCTTATTAGATCCTTAAATTACCTGATAGAATCTATTTGATTTAGATGAGAATTGCCTTCTTGAATTAATTCCCACAGTCTTCCAGGCGTAGCAATGACAATTTCAGGTCCCTTATTTAATATCCTTTCTTGTTTCACTGCTGCCATACCTCCAAGGACAACAGCTATCTAATGATATGATAACTTTAGAATCATATTTAACAAGTCTGTGGACTTTGAAAAACATAATTTTACCTTAATATCTGTATACTTCGCTGCCTGAGTAAGATGATTTTTTATTTGCATTGCTAATTCACGAGTTGGTGTTAAGATTAATGCATACAAGGGTTTGGTTGGAATATTATGACAATCATCAAGCTTTTTATCGTTCACAATATTCACGCAATTGTCAAATTCCGATAAGACTATATTTTCCGAATCAGACTCTAAAAAATCATTTGTAATATATTTATTTTCAAAAGATTGATGATAACTTTAGCAATACTTCATTTTATTAAAAAACTTAATTCATAAAAAAAAATTACTGTAAACAAAAAAATTACCTTCAGTATCTTTTTCACTATTTTGATCTTTATTCTGGTTCTTCAAATCCAAAATACCTTTTATAATCGGAATTCCAAATGCTAATGTCTTACCGCTACCAGTTTCAGCAGCACCTAATATATCTCTGCGACCTAATATAGCAGCTGGCAATGTCTGTGTTTGTATCATGGTAGGAGAATGAAAATTCTGATCAGCTAAAGCTTTTATTACAGCAGTAGGAACACCCATAGAGCGCCATGCTTCAGCATTAATCTTGGCCAAGTTTTTATTACTGTCTATATCACAGTACGAATCACTGTCAGAATTGTCACTGTCAGAATTAGTTTGTTGATCAGTAATTTTAAAATTTGCTGACTTTATTTTCTCATTCTTTATCTTTAGGCGTTTTACTTCAGCTTGCTTTATCTTCGATTTCTTTGTAGAAGGCTCAATATTGTTGATATCAGTCTCTTCCCATTCCTTCGGATATTTGCGCTTTGACACTGACTATAATATAGAATAAGAATTATAATTTAAATAAAAGTTTTAAGATGTTAAAAAATAGATACTCACTTTCTTTTCCTTAGTAGATTTTACTCTTGTTGTTATAATTTTGCCTTTTTTACTGCTCCGCTCTAAGTTGTAATCCGTCAATTCCTCTATTCCAATTAATCCTTCTATATCGTTAGACAATAAGGCACCTTCTAATGTTACAGATTTCCAACCATTATCGCTAACTCGTTTACTTTTCGTCATGATTGCAAAATATTTAATCCTATGTACATATGTTGACAGAATTATTTACTGCATATCTTGTTAAATAATTATTTACATATGATCTATTGAATGTGATGAAATAACCTCAATCAGACAATCACAACACGTTCAAGCACGATTACACGGTTCAAGTTTTTTCCACAATTACTTAATCGATTAGTTAACAATAAATGACGCAGTATATCGCCGATGATCATGCAATTAAGTGATAAAAATAATCAATTTAAACAATAATAAAAATAAGAAAACGCACGTGTTCCAATCATTTCACAATGGGCACGTTCAAGTGTGTTCAAAGCTAGAGTATCTGGTAGAAATACAAGGGTATTCTCTTACGTAGTTCTGTATTTATCAAGGTGCATTCTCATGCAGCGGAATAGCGGAACGCGGAATGAGAGCAGAATCAATCACGAGCGTTCCGCAGTTTCGTTACGCGATTTCGAATCCCTTCATCTCATGGAGCAATGAACGTAAGTAGAATCAACAGCAAGTTAAGCAACAACAAGCTAAATGACGTTTAAATATTGTATTTGTCATTCATTTTTTATTATCATGTATCTAAGGCTCAAAGTCTCACTACAAATGCTTCGAAGCATTTGATGGATCAATTAGAAGAAAGAATTTTACAAACTGATCAATTAAAAAACGCTTCAAAGCATTTGCAGCATCACGTTGACTGTACTTTAAGTGCAGTTAAATCACTTCGCGAGATTCTTTCGTTTTATGCAAAAACGTGAGCGTAATTTCATTGAAATTAAAGGTGAAGAGTATCTTCTGGATAATTACCTAATAATTTATCTCTATACTCATCACGTTGTTATTCCGTCAATTTTGTTACGTTGAAACGTGAATTCACTAAATTCACACTTGAGTTAAAGTTAATTAGGTATATATTGTATTTAACAATGATTCACCTTAGTATTATACATTGGTTAGTGGCGTGATGATTAATTCCTACGCGAAAGTAGACTTATCTCCAAATTAAGTTGGATTATTATGAATTAAAATTTAAATCTTATGATTATACGTTTAGAATTAGAAATGGAATTAGTACTTGAAAAAAGAATTATGTTCGCACGCGGCGTTTAAATTTAGAGCGGCGGGTGGTCGGAAAATGAAATTTGAATTTCGCGCGCATCCACTCTATAGGATGTTACTCTGTCTTCTCTTCTGAGTTTACCCGAGGGCGTTCCTAAAGTCCCCCTCCATTGACCGCGCCACTGTTGGTATGGGAAGAAGTGTCAAATGCGTTCTAGAAGATGCCCGTGTATATTATTCGGGCTCGGTGGCGAGTATGTTCGAAAAATAATTATTGGACAAAATGAAGTTGCTGCGGACGTGACAAAGCACAGTTTTTGGATATCGCTCGTCGCGTCCAATGTGAATTAAGCATTTCATCGAAGTACAAGCTTATTTTTGCTCCTCCATTGTACACGGAGAGAGAGAGAACGGATTTTTTACTAGAAAATTGAAT